GGGGGGGGGGGCTGTGGCTTGGGAGCGAGGGGTAACAGAACAGGCAGGGACAGGGCACTGCTGTATCCCTGCCCCCTCCACCCCGCAATGTGACAGGTGTCATCTTTTTTAGAACTGAAACTATAGTAACCCTAAGAAAATGTTTGGGAACCACTGTACTAGAGGTAACCTGGAAGGAGCCACTAAGCAGCACTGCTTGAGCACAGGTGCTGTTTACCCCTCAGGCTAGATTCACCTTCAGTCCCTGCTCCTCTATGCCAGCCAGCTGACACACAACCCGGCCACCGGAGGGATGCAGAAGCCTCTGCTCACAGACACCCCCCCTCCCCCCAACTCAGAGGCTAAAAACTAGTGCACCCTCCTGCATGCACTCAGCTTCTGGCTGGTGTCCAGCACCTCTCTTTTCACTGCAACCATCTAGCAAAACAGACTCAAAAGCAGGGATGAGTGTAGCCTGCAACTGCTGGGCTCATAAACAGCAGAGACTAAAACCTGATCTCCTGAGGAAGAAGGCCAACCTGCCCTTGTCTACACCACTGTCCAGTGCAAGCCTTCAGGTTTTTACTTGAATCAAAGAGAGCAGAGGGCCCTCAAAGACAGGGCCTTAAGGCTGCCCTGGCTTCGGTGGTAAGACAAATTGACACAGCCACCTGCCCTTTGGCTTGTCTGATTCACCCAGAAAGCACTGCAGGCCCTATTAAGGCTGCAATAGGAGCAAATCTAATACCACAGCTGAATCTGAGGGTCTTGTGACACATCACATCTAGGACATGTTAACTGCACTTAAAAAACACCGGTGTCCAAGCATTCAATAGTAAAACATGTGCTAAGTGCCATTGCAGTGTAGCAAAGTTGGGATTTTTCCCGGGAGGAGTATCTCCAGATTGTATCACCTAATGAATGTTGAGCTAATGCTGAGCTGCTCCGCAGAGGTAACACGATCGGGAGACTCCACTGCCGTGTGGGGGCTGGGACTGACAAACACCTTTTTCTCAGCCTCAGCCTCACACCAGTTTCTCCAATGACTCTGACTCTTATGCCATGTTTTATTTAAATCAT